GATTGGAATTTAGATTGTATTAATTTAATGTCATCATGACATTGAATGCGCACTCTCAGGCTCAAAGGTGGTCACGCCTAATACAACAAAGTAGTCGATGCTTGAACACAAAACATAACAATCAACAGTCAAGTAACACAATGGATTCTTCGCAATGAGCTTGTCACACCATTGGCCAACCTTGTTCACGTCCTTCTGAGTGATGACTCCAATCTTGGTCAAGTCAACCCAGCCGATCACATTCACCTTCTCCATCGGAACCTATAGGGAGCAAACTTCATTTCATTGATGAACATTTTGATGAGCATTCATATCAGCTTGACACAAACTGAGACATGTTAAGACATGGCTTGAACCAAACCGTCGCCAACCTGATTGCGAGCGCCAGTCGCCCGGAGCATGGTGTCCACTTCAGCAGGCATGGACCACTCAGGCACTAGCCCGATCCAGCAACGGCTCTTCATGAAGTCAGCCACCACCCTTGCCAAAAAAATCGAGCAGGCCGAACGCAGAAGGGAGATAGTGCATGACACAGGTTCAGAGACTCAAAGGACAAATCAAAACAACTATTGAAACCAAAATGTCTTGAACAGAAGTGAAGTAACTTTGCCCCGGTCTCAATCTGACTCTTTTCATGGAGCACTTTTGCAACGTGCTGCTTGCCCGCGACCTGCGTCTTCTCGGAGTTGAAGGCGTTCATAGCCTTGCAGTCGGCAGCAAGTTTCATCTTGACCTCATTGAACTTCGAAGCAGCTGCCTGCTCCTGAGCCGCCAAGAGATCATTCGACTCTTCCCCTTGCAGGCAAGAGGGCAGCACTGGCGGCTCCACCAAATCAGTCCAGACGATCAAAGATTTGAGCTGAAAGGCCGGGTTCTTCGAAGCAACCACAGCCTCCACATCCTGGAAGTAGTCCCTGCATGCGCTCGAGCAAGCAAATATGGTCAACAATTACTAAATTCTTAATTGACATAATGCAGAAATGTCACAAGTCTCACACAGAAACTGGAATGCCGGGATGGAATGAGAAGTACAGTACAAACAAAAACACAATGGGTGCTCAATACAAGGTGCTTTGCCAAAAAGGCATCCTTCAGCTTGCCATCAACCTTCGGATCCGACGTGGCCTTCTTCGCATTCTCCCGAAGGTGTGCAAAGACACAGGCATAGTCAACCATCTTCTCAAATTCCTCTGGAGAAGCCCGGGCCCGAGCACGTTGAGAAGGCTTTGCTCGCCGAGTGGCTTGCAAGAACCGCTTCACGTGGAGCTCCATCAGCATGGCTTGGGCCTGCGGGGTCACTGTGAGCACCTCCTGCAGGCTGTCTGGCAAGCCCTTGGGGCGGGCGCCCACCAACCACCGTGACCCCTTCAGCAACTCTGTGCTGAACGCTGATTCACGCCACTTGACAAAGGCAAGATGTTGGGACATTATGTCCCGGGTATCCTGCCAGAAATGAGCATCAACATACAATAGACAACTAACCCACAACAATTGGAACATTTTTGTTGCGATTGGGGAGTGGAGACCAGCTGCAAACTGAAGACATTAAATTTTCATACCCCACCTTGGAAGTCCCAACGATGAGATTCAGGATTGAACGCTCTTTGTCAGCGTCGATTTGGTGGCGGACGTGAAGCCCATCGCTGCTGTTGAACTGCTTGATGACCTTCTTCAATCGGGTTTCAGTATTGCCTGCTGTGCTGCCGGCTTGTCTGTCCATAATCGTCGAGAAGCGAAGTGCCATTTGAAGAGCTGATGGGGCTTGACGCTCAGCGCCACGGAAGGAAAGGGACATGTTCCTGAAGGATTGCTGATCCTTGTTCATACCAATGGCCACCTTATGGCATGATAGCAGGGAGCTGAACCTTTCCTGGCCCTCGGACCAAAACACTCACCCTCCCCGACCCCCCAAAATGACCGAGCGTAGACAAATAATCTTTCTCAGGGACATGCATCGGCAACAGCCAAGCCCTGTCAAGCACCTTCTCCAGGGGCTGCACCAAAGACTTAGTTAAGTCCTCCGTGGGATCCATCTCGGACACTGCCAGCATGATGAACGCCACGCAAGTAGCGCGAGTCCAGCCCTTCACGATGTCGACGGAGAACTTGGAGACAGGCATGCTGCCTGAACCTGAGATGTCAGTGAAAATGCTCCAAACGGACAAACAGTATCACTCAGCATCAACATTCAGAGGCAGCATCAGGCATCATCACTCATCAAGAAAAAGATAACATCCAGAGAACAATAAGAGACGATGAATACTACGATATTTATATATATATTTTTTTTTATCACCATGGCATGCAATGACTGGAACGAACCACGATCACTTCACTCAATGCGGTCAGATAGTTGCCACAGGCTCACACATGCACACAAATCAAATGCAGAATGATTCATGTGCCTGACAGATTCTGAATCTAACTGCACTACTGTTATGGCACTAATCAATACAATTCTGCCCGCAATTCTTTTTCAACATTTCCGGTTTGTCCGACTGGCTCACGGCCACAGACTGTACATACTGTACTGTGCCTCAATGCCACCATCACGTTTGAGATGCTGGCCCTTGACCTGGCAGAACTACCTTCCGCGGCTCCCCTTCACCAACAGCTGGCGATGATGCTTTCGCTGCTTGCTGCTGCACTGCCATCTGCACAGTCAGCTCATTTGCCCAATCCTCCGCCTCCTGCATGGATATGTCTGTCCTGAGCACCTTCCCATCGTTCTCACACTTCCCATACCCTTTTCCTTCAGCATGTTGCCAAGGCGGTGCACTCTGAGATGATGGTGCGCTCCAAGACCATGAATTCCATGAATCATCCCATCGTGAATCCACCCAGCGCCATTCACCAGTGCGGGAGTTCTTCTCAAACGTACCTTACACTGGACAAATCGACATATAAACTGACGGAGCTAATTACCAAAAAAGGTCAAAAGGACAAAAATCTAGGTGCATGTATGGTTTCCCAGCCCCTGGATAATAAGTTTTTTACAGAATCACACATTATGACATGCAGCCAGGGTGCCCTCTGTAGCGTTTGCATCGACCCCGACGGAAAGCTGCTTGCACTGTCTCCAAGATTGCACCCAATCCTGATAGGTCTTGCCCTTACCTTTGGCGGTGGTCTGGTACATAAAGCGAAGTATGTCCCTTTGGTCTCTGCTGATAGCTTGGGCAGACTCATTTTTTCCGGAGGATTGATGACTCTGAGAGGCCATGGATTGACAACTGACGTAGAGAAGCGCAAGACACAACAAACTCACCAATAGTGAGCCACTTGAGCCCACCACAGCTTTCAACGTCTATAAATAGTATAATATAGTGAGTCACTGATATCATGTCACCTGTATTCACCTGTCAAACCCTTATGTTATGGCAGGCTGGCATCATCTTCATCCACATCACACTCAAGCGCTGCCCAAGAGACTGTCGGTGTTCGCGTGTGGGACCTCGGGGCGTGAGAGATGCAGTGCTGTACAACTTTGGTTCGCATGTGACATCAGACTTCAATCTTCAACCAAGTCAAACCAGGTCTTGAATCATATAATAACTTGATTGTTCCAAATCTGGACACACATAATGAAACAACTTTGGTCCCCGACGCAAACGTCCAAAGGCTCCCTTTGCAGCTCCAGTCCATCCAGTAGGATCGAAGTGAACGTCGTCACCCAATCTTCAATGGAGGGCAAGCCGTCTTCAGGAACCTCGAACCTTATTTTTTTGGGATGAAGGCCGCGGGCCAATGCCAGTTTAATCATTGCCTACAAAACTTTGACCATTTATCTTTGTTTCATGATGCTCCGTGATGCCCCAAACTTCTTTGATAAATGATGATGTCAGGTGGCTTCAAACATGTCAATGGCAGCTTGAGAACGTCCCCACTGCTGGAAGGATCAACCACCTTACTTGGCCAATTCAGTTGTTGGTTGAAGGCAGGGGATTCTGATGAGTTTGATTTCCGAAAGATTGGAGGAGGTATCAATAACTTTCTCAAGAAGCTACCAAACACTGAGCCCTGAACACAGGAGGTCATGGGAGCAAAAGCCTTGTCCTTGATTCCACGGTGCTCAGCGTAGGCCTCGAACCAGTTCTCCATATGAATTGAAAACTGCTGAGCACTGGGACCGCAAAGAGCATCCAGGGCATCTTGTACCGGATGTAGGCAATCCAAGTTGGTCCCGTCTGTCATGTATTGCGAGACATGCTCCACAAGCTCCTGTTTATGTAAATGACCCCAGCTATTGGTTGCCTGACGCTAAAGGAGCACACACGACTTTCCAACACTGTGGGGGGGCGTTTCAAAAATCAGATATATAGTCACCACATCAAAGAATTAGTCAGATAGTCCTTGACAACGGATGTGTCACCCTTCATGTTTTTGATCTTCTTCTCCATTTCTGTGGCAAGTCGCTTGGAAGGAGATGGGGTCGCCGCGCCACCTTCCGTCTTGATGCCGCTTTCAGGTTTGAGCTTCGCGCTCGCAGCCTCCAGCATCTTGCAAAGAGGAGGCATGGCCAATCAAGCTTCAGATCTGAAAGGCAATCCCTGCCAAAAAGACTTGAGCAATCCCAGCTCATAAGAGACACAGAGAGATAGTCAAAAGACCTCAAATGAGTAGTTAGTGTCGTTCACTGATTGTGCATTGATGAGACGTTCAAAATCACAAAGTTTCATCAATGTACCTGGCGCCCCCATGTCCATTGAAAACCCTATATGTTGAGGGGGGCGATGTTGATGCGCAAAGTGTGACACAACAAGTTCATCAATGTGACCCCTCCAAGGGTACCAAGTTCAATGTACATGGCGGCCCCAGGTACATTGATGACAAGTCTTCCGAACAAGTTTTTCATCAATGCAGAAAAAATGAGGAGCCTCAATTCAAAACTCTCACCGAATCAAAGATTTGCACTCTCTTCGGCAACCCCATTCATCAACGTACATGGCGCCTCCAGGTACATCGATGAAGCCATCTTCAAGCCTGAAATCGGGCCATGTACATCGATGAACCCCCCTCAAAACCAAAAGTACATTGATGAACCCCCCTCAAAACCAAAAGTGCATCGATGAACCCCCCTCAAAACCAAAAGTGCATCGATGAACCCGAT